CTCTGACGAGTCCGAAGAGGACGACTCCTCCCCTCTCCCAGAGGGGCCCGCCTCCTCTCCTTTAAAAGGAGCAGGAGAGAATGTAGACTTGTCAACTGTAAAATTGGAAGGGGTCACTTTGACTCCTCCCTCAGAACTGTCGGCTTTCAAGCCGCTTTGGTTCACTTCCACATCTGGCGCCTGGTCAGATGTTTCACTAATCGGCACCCTTTGGGAGGAGCCGTTTGAGTTCGAAATCCTAGCAGTTCTTTTTGTTCTGGCCATCATGTTCTGCATAGACACAAAGACAGTCGGACTTTGTATAAAGGGCAAAGATGGGTCCGGAAAAGGGCAGGCGACACTCCTAGTCCTAGATTCAGCCGTCCCCGGTGACCGGCTGATCACTAACCTAGGTCGTGTCGTGTGCTTCCGTGGTGCCATTTCAAAAAAGAATAAAATAAAGAGAAAATTAAGAGTAAGAGAACCGACGGTTACCTGAACGAGTGACGTTGATGGAGTTCTGAAAATCCTGTGCAGTCGGCTTGTCAGAGCAGGCGGTAGGCAGAAAGGGTCCAAAATGTCAGAGCAAGTTCAGGGGTCCGAATGTTCTCTCAAAAAGTTCTCAAGTGTGAAAATGACTGAAGTCAACACTCCCTTATATAGGCGAAGTGAGAAGGCGAAGGGTCACTTCCAAAATTCATAATTTGGGCGGGAGAATCTCTCAGCCTTTCGCCGAGTGACACCTGTAGCAGGCCGTCACCTGTTACAGTGCGACACCTGTCACATGTAACACGTGACCAGTCACGTGCCACCTGTGAGGGGCAAATGATTAGGGGATTTTGCTCCCACCAATCGGAATGTGACACGTGGGCCAATCAGGTCCTGCCAAGTGTCCCCCAGTTGGAACTGTCAGGGCTTGCCACGTGGCACACGCTTATTCGTCCACCTTGGACCTATTATGTCATGACACGTGGCATACTCCATGCCTAATGGAGAAACCGGCCACCCAGGCCCAACTTCCGAGGGAAGCCCAATCAGCCCTAGGCTAACCTAAACCTAGGATTGGCACGTTTCCCAAGGTTATAAATACCTCCCTTAATCCTCATTAAGAGAGATTACGCACATTAAACACTCTCACCTAGAGAGACCCAATCACTTTAATTTTCGCATTAATTACTCCTTAATCAAGTACTAACTTGACCGTCGGAGGCGGATCTCCAATCATCCGGAGCCTCCGTTTGTTTTGCAGGTACAGGCGTCCGGTTCCAGTCTCGGAATTGTAACTCTCCCGCAGGACATCAGAAAACCCCGAAACAATAACTCCCATAAATTATCATATAATTTTATTTTTTGTATCATAATATTTTTTTGGAGCGAAGAAATTAGTTCAAAATGTACCACATCTATTATTTATAATATATTCTAATCAATTAAAATATAATACTTCAAAATCTAATATAATTTTATTAATGTGTGTAAACCTACCTCTCAAACGGGTCGGATTACAAGTCATTTCGGACGGGGTCATTATTTCAGGTGACGGGTCAAGAAATATTTTCACCAATATTATTATTATTAGTCATTACATGCCTACTACTTAGTTTAAATTGTCACAAAATTAAAACACATAATTTCCTAACTACATTTGTATCAATGATATGTTTAAAATTTGACATATAGATTAAAAATTAATCTTAAAATTCAATAAACAACCCGGACATCGCACGGGCACAAAACTAGACCAGATTTATAATATATACTAATTTAGAATTCATAAAATTATAGATTTAAATAGATCTCATAAAATAAAATAAAAAAGTAATTTAGAATTCTATTTGGATAGAATTTTAGGATAATATTAATTTTATTTTCGATAAAATACCAATATTTCAAATGTACAAATTCAATTATAATTCTATTAACAAACTTATTAGATTATAATTCTCAAAAATTATCAAATAAATTATTTTTTATGTCATAATATTTTTTTTGGACAAAGAAAGAGTTCAAAGCATAAAACATAGATTTATAATATATACTAATCGGTTAAAATAATATACTTCACAATCTAGCAAATCTTATAAAGATTAAAAATTTATTCTAAAATTCAATAAACGAGCCGGGCATTGCACGGGGCACTAAACTAGTAACTTATATATAAAGCTAAAATTTTAGCCAGGTCACGAAATAGTGATACTTGACATTCTAACTTTTCGTCAAGTGTCGCGCCACCTTGAATAGATTTAAATAGATTCATAAGATAAAAAAGTTAGTGAAAAATTCTTTTTTCAATCAAATTAGGAAAGAATTTTAGAATCAGATGGTTAGTTTAGAGTTTTATTTTCGATAAAATGCCAAATAATAAACTTATAATTAGGCCACAAGACAACATTGTATAGCATTTTAACTTTTCGCCAAGTGTCGTACCACGTTGGATAAATATAGATAGATTTTGTAGAAGGAAAAAAAATTAATTTAGAATTCTATTTCAATCAATTAAATTGAATTATAAAATAATTTTATCTTAAAATTGCATAATCAACCCGGGCATCGCACGGGGCACAAAACTAGTATATAATAAGGCTATGTTCTCATTGACTGAAATCAGCTGAACTGAACGAAACTGAGCTGAACTGAACTGAAATGAATATTTTATAAGAGAAGGAAATTAGAAGCTGAACTGAACTGAATTTCAACGTAAGAGAACAGGCCCTAAGTCATATTTTATTACGGAGTATTAATTTGATTTGGAAAATTTAGATATATGGAGGAATATGGGAGAGTTGAAGAAATACATTATACAAGCTAGCAAAAGCAAATTTGAATTGAACGAAATACGTGTAAATGGAAAGTAAAAATATCAATGAAAAATTAGTAATGTTATTTTTATTGTTTTAAAATAAAACCTCTAGCTTTATAAAAATTCAATCAATGAAGAAACCAAAGAAGTGACAAGATATAATGAATCAATGATACAAAATTTTAAAACACTATTATTATAGTAGTGGGAATTGAACGAGATTATGATTATGGCAAGGAAAATTAAAAAATTGTATCCAAATTAATGGGTGATTTAAAATTAAAATCAAATATGATAATGATGATCATATGCATTTTTCATGCACTCATGCTAATGAAGTGATGATGCCATCACCATGGAGGCATGATGAGAGAGAATCAAGTGATGAAAATATGCACGTTGAAATGAAGAACATGCATAATAGATTAATAGTATAAAGTTATTTTCACCAAAATATAAATAAATAAAATAAAATAAAGTGATGTCATGAGAATGAAGTGATGATGTTAGTAGTTTAGTTGAGCGTGCATTGCGGGCCGGGTCAGTGGGCCACCAACATTCCTTACTAGTTATTGATGTGATGCATTTATATTCTTGTCTTGTAATTGTCTATGTTTTGTGCTACCCAAATTGTCAATTTTGCAATTATTGTATTGATTAGTCTACTAATATGGATTGTGACTTGTTACCCTTTTTTTTTTAATTAGATGGATAAGGAATAAGATTAATGCATGGTTGGTAGTTTGAGATCGATTATGTTACTAGTCCTGCTTTGCATTATCCGATCCTAAATAGTTTGGATTTTGGAAGTAGTGATTTAGTGTTAAAGATTAGTGGTGTAGGGTAGAGTAGATATCAATTAGAAGAGTAACTTGGTGAAAAAAATTTAGAAAATAAATAAATAAATAGGAGTACTAAAAGGGATAATAAAAAAAAAAAAAAGGGAAATGGGGTTAATTATAAAAGATTATTCTTTTCTTAATAGTCTTCCCAGATATTTATTTTGTCAATAGACTTTCCATTTCACATTTCTATAGGCCAACCAAATAATAAACTGTTAACCATTGGCTCATTGATCTTTTCTTTGCCATTAATTTTAAAAGCGTTTTTAAAGAAGTTAAGATGTCAGGTGACACTATTCTTATTTAGTTGAGAATAAATTTCACATGTTTAAAATACATGAATTATATAGTTATTTTTTTCAAAATTATACTTAGTACATAGATAAGGATTTGAATCCTGACAAATGGGACAACTCCACCTATCTATAATAGATGAGTAGTTTAAAAAATGTGATAATTTCAGGCATCATCCGAACCTAAAAACTAGTTTACTCTCTAAAATTAATGTTTTGTTTACTCGAATTTCACTTAATAACACTTATCTTGTCTTAGCTTATCGATCACTATATTACCTTTATCAAAATTTATACTTCGTATAACAAATCTAATCTTATGCTATGCGAACTTTTTAGCCCCTATACTTGTTCTTTCTTCTTTTTATTTTTTTATTTTTATTTTTTTTTAATATTTGCAAAAGCCCGAAGTCACACGCTTTTAGAAGGTGATTAAACTAGATGTACGAGTGAAAACAACATTATTATCAAAATAATTTTAACACAACAAAGTTCAATATAACTCAATTCTTTATCAAAATTACTACACATAATAAGACTGGTTAAGCATCGATATTGTACAAAAAGAAAAAAAAATTATACTCCCCTGGTTAGAACACCGCCCTCCCCGTTTTAGGTTCTCTACGAATGCGTGATTTTAGTTTATGTGTATTATACGGAGTACCACGTAATATATTTTACTTTCAGTATCTTTCTTTGTCTAGTAATCTTTTCATGAGATAGGGAGGCTTTTATATTTTAGTAATATTCCTTTAAATAGGAGATTATTACTAGTACTCTATACCTTTCCAATTAAAATAAAAAGCCCGGTTAAGCAAGGTACTCCCCAAAGAACGTGGAGTAGTGGTCAGGTCTAGGCATCTAGCCAACCTACAAGCGCATCTACTCAACAATGACACAAGTCACGACCCAAAACGCCCCTGAACCCTCATTAGTGAAAACGAACAATGTATATGGGCTAGATAGCCTAAGAGGTTCACCAAGTTATCTTATTGAAGGGCATAGGCCATGACACTAGCAAAGAATAGGCTCAATGGGTTAGTCCTAGTCCAAAAACAATTGAATTGCATTACAAAGTCCAACACTTTAGTTTTGACAATCCTTATCATGAATTGAAAAATGGCCTAAGGCTCTACTGAACTCACTTCCCTTTCTATCTCTTTCTATTTCTCTGCAACTCTCAGACCAACAATGGCGGGAATAGCCACCATCAAGCTATCTTTTTCCCCTTCAATTCGCTCTTCATCAGCTTCTTTTTCATTCAACCCATCTTTCAATGGCCTTAAACACTCCGTTGCACTACCCCGCCGCACCAGATTCTCTAGTAAATTTCTGATCCTTTTCATTTATTTACTAGTAATTTTTGCTATTTTTGAAGATTTTAGTTTGAATTTCTGTTTAATTTTATGGGAATTTTGTCAATCGTTTATTTATGTGTTTTCTTGCAGAGATTTATGCTTTGAGCAGTAATGACATTAAGGTGGGGACTAGCATTGAGGTGGATGGAGCTCCTTGGAAAGTCTTAGGTATTTTATATCCTCTCAATTTTGCTTCAATTTTCATTTTTTTCTTTTCAGTTTTTATAATTTTGGATTAATGAGAATGTAAACATATTTTTAATAATTAATGTGTTGATAATTTAGCCTTCTTGAATTTTGTTGATTTATAGCTTTACAAAAAATTGGGGTTTTGGACTGTATTTCTCTCTAATGCTCAATTTTACTGCTATCCCTTTCCCAATGAGAACTACTTGCCAAAGTGTTATCCTTTGTGGGATATATGTAGTTGGGATTCGATCCGAGGTCATAGACCTCATAGTTAATTAGTTACCACCCCCATGAGGCCATGACTTTTTGCAACTAAGATGGTTGACACCCACAATAAGTAGCTTTTCAAACGGGATTTAATGTTAAAGACATGAATTCTTTTGATTTTGATTTCTAATATAGCTTCCCAATGGTTATCATCAATTCAATTTTAATGTCCAAATGAAAAAAGTGCATCCTTGATATTTGGTTTGGTGATTGAAGATTATAGACAATGGAGTGTGGTGAAGACGGGGTTTGGTTTGTTTTGTTATCTCGCCAAAAAGACTAGGCAATTTTAGCTGATGGACTGCCTCCCTTCATCGTCCTTCATACCTTCAAGAATGAGGGAGAAGGGAAAGTAAATTTAACGTAATACACCGTAAATTTGTATGATGATTTATGATCATTAGCTTGTGGTATTTTTTTTTCGATTAGGGAGGAGGGGGGGAGCCCAGGACGCATGTAGTATGTAATATAGGGTGAATGTTTACAGGTTAACGGTGTGTTTGGATGAAATGGAGGGAAAGGAAGGGAAGGGAAATGGAGAGATGGGGTATCCTTCACTTGGATAACAAATGAGGAAGGAAGGGAGTTGGAAGGAAGAGAAATGAAGGGATTAAATTGTAGGAAATTGACCCCTTCAACAATGGAGAGATTTGGAAGGAAAACTCACCATTCTTCCCTCCCCTCTCCTTCTCCTCCCTTCCCTTCTTTTTCTTTCCCTTTCTTTATCCAAACATACTGTAACGTTTTGTTTGGATAGCAAAGAAGGAAGGAAAAGAAGGGGAGGGAAAATGAAGGAAGGGAAGGGAAAAGAAAGGGAGGGGGAGGTGAGCTCCATTTTCCCTCCAAATCTCTCCAATTTTGGAGAGATTATGGTTATTAAAGAGAGAGGGAAAATGGATCCCTCCCTCTCCTTCCCCTTCCTTCCCCCAATCTTTTACCCAAACAAGAGATTTTGTCCCCCTTCATTTCTCTTCTCTTCTTTTCCTTCCATTTCTTCCTATCCAAACAAAGTGTAAATCTTTCTGATAGCTGGTTTGCATTTATGATGCTGAATCTTCCAATTGCTTGGTGACTAGAATCATACGTAGTAGTTAAAAAATTAATTCTTTAACCTGTGAGGCTGAAAACATTTTTCCATGGATTTTGTAGAGTTTCTTCATGTGAAACCTGGAAAAGGGGCTGCTTTTGTGAGGACTAAAATGCGCAATTATGTGACGGGGAACACAGTTGAAAAGACCTTTCGAGCTGGAGTCACGGTATGTTTTCTGGATGGTCAATTTTTTTCATGGCTATGTATCTGCACATCTGTTCTTTATCCTTAGCTTTTCTCATCCTTTGAAGTGAGGACATTAACACTGCTTTGTCATGCAATCAAGAATTAAAGGTCAAACCCGTGTCCTAAAATGACAATTTTAAAAACTATTTAGGCATCACAAATTGACCTCTTCAGTCTTTACGAACTGCGTAGATGTAGATATAATGATTGGCCATGCATTTTGTGCAGGTTTGACAACTTGACGTTCACATACCAGTATTATCCCACATTTCTTATTCTATGTGACGGGGCAGAAGCAGTAACTTTTCTTCATGGTTTGGGATAGTTGAATTTGACATAATGAATCAGATTGGTGGGGGGAATACATTTTTCATCTTATGTATGTTGTTTGTTATATAAATGACTGATGAAAGGGTTCTAAATGTGTACCCTTTCTTCTTAGACTTATCTTCAATGGGGATGATTATGATGAAAACGTGTACTCATATGGGGATCCTTATATGATCATCATATGGGTAGAATCCAAAGATTCCCTATCAATAGATTATTACAAGTAAACTTATTCAAACTTTGAAAGGGGAAAAAGAAAACATGCTCCTTCCAAGTCCCTACCACTCAACCAGCACGCTTTGATGAGTGGTGTTGTATGAGCTTTTGATCTTGATCTTGTAGCCATGTCAAAGTAGCATCTCATTAGTATTGTAAACAGTAATCAATTCATTTTTTCTAATTGAAGCTTCTTGGTTGGACATAAAATTGAAATTGACAGATACCTGAAGCAAATGTATCCAAGGAAACAAAGCAATTCACATACAAAGATGGAACTATGTATGTCTTCATGGATAACGTACGTTTCTTACCCTGTAAATTATGAAATTTGCAGTGTTTTTTACATGGCTGTAGGTCACTATACTTCTTGATTAGCTACCTTAGTAGATAAAATGCTTTGATTCCTATGCATGCTTCAGTGTTGGATCATCATTGTTTTGATGCTTTACCTTTCTTATGCCTGTGCATGCTTTACTTAATCATAATAAAAAGACTGATTCTTTGTCATATACTCTATATTTTGATTCAGTGCTTTCGACTATTCAATCTCATTTTCATGTCAATGTGAGAAAGGGTGTTACTGATAGTTTTAGAGGTTGGGTGGGGGGTTTATTTATTTATTTATTCTAGTAGCTTTTTTTTTACTTCATGTTCAATTGAATATGATCTGAGCATGTAGCTTAAAGTTTTTAAATACATGACATACGGTATAGAATATTTTAGTATTATCCAAAGTTCCAAACCTTGTCAAGTTTTCCATTGCCAATATTAAGTCACTAAAACTTAATTCAATCACTTGGAATTTTGTATAACTAGTTGACATTGAACTTATGCACCCTCTTCCTCAAAGCACCTTCCTAGTTCCAGCAATGAATCTATTATGAATCGACATAACTGAACTATTTAAAAGTGATTTCCCTTCTCTCTACCTACTCTCCATTTTTAATTTTTCTGCCCCACTATTTCCTCTCTCTTATAACTAACCAACTATCTTCCTCTTTAAGCTATTCTTAACAAACTAATTATACAATATCCACACTATCTTCTATCAGGCCAGTTGTAGATTAAGAATTTAATTTCAGATGTCAATATCACAATATGTGAACTCTATTAAAAGATTCAAAACATTTCCTTTTGAGAATTAATGTGCTAGTTCTTCACTGTGAATGCTACTCTGAAGGTATGTTTGTATGTTGTGTTATACATGTAGAAGTTGCAATTGAGAAATGATTTTACACATTTTCAGACTACATATGAGGAATTCCGGCTCAGTGAGAAAGATGTTGGTGATAAGACCAAGTGGCTGAAGGAGGGCATGGACTGCAATCTGCAGTTTTGGAACGGAAAAGTAATTATCTCCACTTATTATGACTGCTGTTGTTGCTTTTGACTCTTCTCGTCATTCTATAAGTCATGACTTATAGGAAACATCAAGATTCTATTACTATGATGTGTTTATCCTTCATCTTCCCGTTTTTTTTTTTCATTAAGCATTTCTGGTATTCATCTTTTAAAAACTTTAAAAAAATCCTTATAAAGAAAATTTGTTCTTCTTTTTCTTCATCTCATTCTGTACCTCATGTGGGGAAATTTGAGGGCACATTTATCATTGGCACTTCTAGTTCAGCAAAGCTGAATTGTTTTTTGAACTACTTGCAGGCAATTGATCTTGAATTGCCCCTCATTGTGAAGCTCACTGTTATTGATACTGAACCTGGTATTAAGGGTGATTCAGCTCAAGGTATGTGCTCTAATTTACCTTTGATCCTCACTATACCAATTAAACCCACCCATTGTGCTTCCTTTCAAGTTCACAATTGAGACAGAAATGCTTGAAAGTAATGTGGGTTTTATTTATCATCCTTCAACCATGCTTGAAAGACTATTTATGCACTGGTTTCTGCAACTAATCTGATCTTGTTAAGCGTTGTGAATTGGCTATAAACCTATGCTCTATTCCCTTATCTTGCATCTGCAATTATTTGTCATAGATTCCGAGTCTTAGGAGCTGGGTAGATGCGTATATGCTATTTACTTCAGTGAACTCTTCATACAAAGTATTTGAAATACATTTTATTGGTATACGCACAATTTCTTCAAGTTAACTAATAATCTGCGAGGAGAGAGGCCGAGAGGGTTGATCTGGTGGTAGCTTGTATTTGGATTTCTCTGTACTTATTCAGATTTCTGTTTACATGCAATAAGTCATTGGTATGTGTTAATACCGTAGAAGTGGGTTGATTTCTTCTTGAAATTACTCTATTTAATCTACTATTTGTTTGTGATTCTATTGCACTTTGTAGCTAGAACAAATGTTCTATTAGATGGCTATGTATTTATACCAGGTTTAGGGTAATGTTTCTTTCTTCTTAACAGTTCCATGATATTTGATTGTAGGTAGTACCAAACCAGCAACAGTTGACACTGGAGCTATTGTTAATGTACCGTTGTTCATAAATATCGGCGATGATATTATGATTGATACAAGAACAGGACAGTATAATACTCGTGCGTAATTAATGTTTCAAACAAATTTCGGCACTAATGTAATTCAATGCTTAGAGTTTTTGTTGTATTTATTTGTGTCCATATTACTGTGACGCTCTGTTCTGTAATTCAAGGTTAGGATTTTGTTCTTGATGCTATTGAGATAGACATGATGCTGTTGAGATATACATGTATGTCACGTGAATCAGTTGGGAGGATTTTGTATAAATATTGAATCAATTCAAGCTGAAATTTTCTACTGCCTGAGCAAGCCTTTCCTTTTAATGTCTGCTGACAATTAGTGCTGCATTTTACTCCGTTTGATGGTAAACTCTTGTATCAAGTGCTTCATTGTCCTGCTTTTATGAAATTATGGGCTGTTACAACTATTTTGTTCAAATTATTAAGTCATGATCTGATCATTCTTGCGAGGCAGCTTATGCATCTGGGGTACTTGTTATATTTTCGCATAGAAAAGACGCTCTTTCTCTCTTATTCAATTCTCACACAGAGGGTGCATCTCAAGGGGCTGGGATTTACAGTTTATGATGACCTTTCTGTCTCCTTCCATGAACATATTTGACATTCTCCAAAAAAAAAAAAAAAAAAAAAAAATTAACAAATTGCAACATGCTCAATAACAACAAAACTTTCCATTTGATAGGCTGTAGTACAAGATCAATATATCAACAATCAACACTAAGTAATACTTTGTAGTAGAGAACTATACATACAGTGGTTGTGTTATGGACTTATGGAGTTATGATTATCTAATCTGTTGAGAGCTCGAGGGTATTCGGTGTGGAATTATACCAAGCTTTAATGCAGCACCATAGACGTTGCAGGCACCAAGCACAAACCCTTGCCTATTGAACTCATCAATCAAAATGTTAAAGCTAATTTTGCTGGGAAATTTACCAGTTTCACACACAAGAACTAAAATTGATAGTGCTTGGCTAACCTTCCCCTCCTTGCAGAGTCCACGAATGATTCGATTAATTGTGACCATCCTTGGAAAATAACCAGCTTCAATCATCTCTTTCAAGGTAATCAAAGCCATATCAACCTCATTTCTAATACAAAAGGTTTGAATCACCAGATAATAAGTGTCAGGAAAGACAGAATAATCCCAACTCTTCATTTTCGCGTATACTTCATCCACAAATTTGAAGAGATCTTGTTCATTCCAAGATTTCCTGCACAAAACTCTTAACAAGGTGTTCATCATCCTTCCATCCACCTTGAAACCAACCTCGACCATTTCTTTGTAAACCCAATAAGCTGCCATAAATTTACCCCATTTCAACAACCCATGAAGCAAAGTACTGTAACTTATATAATCAGGTACACAACCGCGATCCTTCATTAGCTTCAACAACCCAACCCCTTTCCTTGGTTTCCCTTCTTTGCAATACCCATTAAAGAGAGCATTATAAGTAACCACACCCGGAGTTAATCCCATCGCGATTGCTTCCTCAAGCAGTTCCATGGCCTCACCTGACCTGCCCACTTTACACAAACCATCCATAACAGCAGTGTATGAATATATATCAGGATTAGTACTACTACTACTACTACTACTACTGTCTTCATTATCATTATCTCCCTTTCTCTTCAAACTCATCAACATATCATAAGCTTCTTCTACCCTTCCAACAAAGCACAACCCTTTTAACACACAGTTATAAGTTTGAACATTCGGGTTGCACCCAAGTTCACCCATCATCTCCAACACCTGAAAAGCTCTCTGAAGTCTACCTCTTGAGCATAATGAATTCACCAAGATGGTAAGAGTGACCACATTCGGTCGAAACCCGTTTTCTATCATACAGTCCAGAACTCTTTTCCCTTCATCAGGCAGATTTTTCTTACAGTAACACCTGATAAGTATAGAATAAGTCCAACAGTCTGGTGATAAACCATGCAGTGGCATTTCGTCGAACAGTTTCAAGGCAAGGTCCAACTCCTCAGCCATCACTAAACCCATTAATAAATCATTGATATAACCTATAGTTTTGGACTCACCCTGCTTCTCAATCATAGAATCAAGGATTTTAGACCTTTCTTGAGGTGGGGTTGCTCTAATTTCATCAGCTAATTGTTTAACTTTCGCTTTACTACTATTGTTTTCTTGGTATTCACCTTTCATTTCTGTTAAGCTTAAAGTAGATGAATTTGAAGCAGAACTATATGATTGAATTCTGAAAGTGTAGCTGAAATTCGTAACAGTGAAATTGAAGAGCGATATAATTGAAATTTGGGATGGACAAATTGATAAATTAAGTGTTTTTGATGCAAGATTCTTGGGTTGAAGAAAATGATAGCCATTGAAAAAGAAGTGATTTTTTGTGGAGGTGTTGTTTAAGATTAACAATGGAGGAAGCAATGAGGAGCATCCCACTGAACAAGGCATGAAGATTGACTTTTATTAAGGAAATCCTAAAAATTTTGGACTTTATCTTGAGGTTTTTAAGTTGCTAATATGGACAAATTACATAATTTTCTATGACATATAGAGCTACTCAAGCTACATACGAGAGTTTTATATGGATGATGATGTGTAATTAAGATCTTTGTTTTTACAATGCTCATTTAATTATCAACAAAAAACAACAAAAAAAAAAGCCGGTTGCGAAAATATTCCGAGCATAATTATAAGAAAATGTAATATTCATGCATCGTGTTGGACTAAATCTGAAAATTTTAAGGTACAGCCGCCTGTATCTAGCAAGGTACAGACAAAAAGACGCGGAAAGAACATGTAGTAGTTTTTTAACGAACATAAAATTGTTTTGTAAAGAACATATACCTGTTTTGTAAAGAACATCCAATTTTATGTTTTTTTTATACATCTAAAGAACATCCGTAATATTTATAAAGAACATGACAATATTATGTAATGAACATTATTTATGTATATTCACCATAATAAAAAAAAAAAAATCAAAGAACATTTCACAATAAGTATTAACATTATATCACAAATAATTAAAAGTACATTACACTGACAATTAAAGAACATAAACATATGTTCTTCACTCTTTTTTAATATAAATATGTTACTTTTTACTTTAGATAATATATGTTCTTTACTTTTTAATAGTATATTCTTTTTATTACAACGATATGTTTTTTACATGTGTGTAATATGTTCTTTTCGCGAAGCAGTTATACAATGCAAGGTACCCACGCTTGTAAGAACCACACATTGGAGTAAACCTTTCTCAAAGTCTCACTCGAAAAAGAGAGACAAGATAACTATTTATACAAAAGTAATCTCTTATATTTTATACAAGGAATGAAATGAGTTTCACACAAAAGGAATAATAACTTGAAGCATTTAAAACAAGAGGATTCCATCAAAATGATAGTTACAAATTTATGAACTAGATTTATGATCATATAAAGTTATGTATCATGTCACAAATAATTAATAAATTAGTCTCTAATAATACCTTACTGATTTGCTAAACCTCTTCCAAGACTTAAGATCATTATTATTGTTACTTCTACTAGGCTCTTGTTGCTCTTTCTCAACATGATGATGATCATTTTTCCTCCCTTTCTTCTTCCAAAAAACAGGCCTAAGTAACTTCTTGACAATCTTATGCAAACCATAACCCCAAGACGTACCTCGCTTCCCTTGTTCCACCGGTTGTTGGACCAATGGTGGTGCACCCACGCCTAGGTGTGCACGAAACATCGATGTCCCTGGCTCGGACAAGCTCCTCCTTAGCATGGCTTGGTTGAGTTGAATTTCGACCGATAGACGCTCGTACTCATCAAACAATGTGCTCTTTCGGTTGTCCGTAAAATTCTTAACAGCCACTTCTATTTCGTCCATTTTTATTTTGTTACATTTGATTCTTTTGACACTCTTAGCGTATGTACTAGTACTATATAGTATAGTTGTTCACTCTTTGTTGATTCTTTGGTTTACATAGGAAGGCAACCTAAGAGAGTGTGTGTCAGATTGATTGAAATGAAATAAATGTTTATCAATCAACTTTTTTTTTTTTTATTGTTTTTATTCATCTTAACTTATATTTTGAGGGTTCTTTTCTTTACATGGAAGATGAAAGTAAAATAAAGTGCAAATATATTTCATAGTTAGGGCTTGTTCTCATTGACTGAACTCAGCTGAGCTGAGCTGAACTGAACTGAATTGAACTGAAATGGACTGAAATGAATATTTTATAAGAGAAGGAAATTAGGAGCTGAACTGAACTGAGCTGAGCTGAACTGAACTGAACTGAACTGAACTGAACTGAACTGAATTGAGCTGAACTGAACTGAACTGAACTAAACAGGATTTCAACGTAAGAGAACATACCTTTACTTTAATAATTGAGAAGTCATTAATTATGGGTTTTAAAGTTTATTTATTGGTTAGGATAATTATTAGGGAATTAATAATTAAAGTCTGTTAGCCTTCTTTGTTCTTCATCTTCTACATGAATTTAGTACTCCTAGCCTTTTTGTTCTGTCTTCTCTGTATTTAGTAGGCTAGATTTGTGTTATTCATCAATTTTTAATATGACTTTGACCGCTAACACTCCGGCTTGTTTGATAGGAGAGCCGATACACATATAACCATTGTATGTTGTCCCTACATACATCATTAGAAATTTGACACATTATCAGAAAAGGGTAGAAAATTAGAAGTCAAATATAAATTGACCGTGATAAACATATTCTGTACTCTGTATTTCATAACTACTCGTACTACTTTGTTAATTTCATGTTAACTCAACAATTTTTTAAATGATTCTTAAAAGTATTTTTGTCTAGTTTCGTAAATACTTCGAATATTCTGTTTCGCAGCTTTCCTACTTTCCTAGTACCTCATCGTTTATTTTGTACGAAGAATTTGTACAAGTACTAGTCGTATTCTTTTTAGAAGCTTAACAAGCACTAAAGCAAAGAAGAATCAATTAAAGTGAGTTTTGGAATAATGATCTGGTAATTGATAATTTTGCAAATAAGCTTACTAGTATAACAATATTTATATGGGCAAGATTTTATAAGATTTTGCTCTCTGATTATGGAGTACTTTGTTGTATAGATATTGTAGACCGGGTCCATACAAGACCAATTGTGGAAAAGTTGAACAGTTTGTAACATTTACGAGCATTTAGTTTCATTAATATAGCAACCTCATTATATCAGTGCTGTTCATCAGTCACCAATATGTCCTAGTAAGAGCTTGTTTGATTCACCTTATTTTTGCTTATCTGAACTTATCTGATCTGATCTGGTTTGGTTTGATCTGGTCTGATCTGAATATTAGATTTGACCAAACTTTGACATTAAATGTGCGGTAATTTATACGGAAAAAATATATCAAGTGGGGTCTTGTTAGATTCTTAATAATGTGTATTTATTAATATGTGATTTTCATAATTTTTTTAATTACGAAATTAAAGGAATTTAGCGATTAAAAAATTGCACATAAAACGATGATTTAATTTGTAAAAATAAGGCGAACTAAACAAGATCTTCCCACAATTTTTAAAGAGGTGATGAATAGACAATAAGACAACATTACATGTTCAATTTTTTTATTTTTTTTATAAAAATATCATGTGCGTTTTATGCAACTATTATTCCACATAAATAAAGAAGTTCCGTCAAAAAATAAATAAATAAAGAAGTTAAATTTGGCTTAATTAGCTACAAGGCTACAACTAGAAGCCAATTTCATTTCTTATACTTATGTGTGGTAAAATTGCTATAAATTAAGAAAAATAAATATTACTTCATACATATTAAAATATATATGGTTGTTTTGGATAAAATAAAATTTGATTAATAGAGTGATAGGCCCAATATAATGCGTAAATACAAAAGTCTACTCGTAATTACTAGGACATATTGTCAACTTTTGTCTTATATAAGTAATACCATAAATTATTGTTTTTTAGAGTAAAAGGTATCTTTAGTGGTAGAGCTTCCCTCCCAATTTGAAAAGATCGTGAAATTGATCTCATCATCCGTCTAGCTTTCTAAACATTAAAAATAAAAGGTGTGATCATTATGATGAGTTTTAATGGTTTATACGTTGTTTAGATTGGGATTGAACCAACCGACTGTGAGAGTTGAAATGAAGGGCTATTGCTTGGGGCTCATGAAGGAAGTAAACCCCATTAAGTATCAAAATTCAAGCACTCTCACGCTCCTCTATAAAACATTAAGGCATACGTTCTTTGTATAGGATTTTGTAATATAGCTAGAGGTGATCAAATTAACACCGCAACAAGAGTTGTGGTCAACTTATTAGAAAATTGCACAAAGCAATGTAAAACATTAATACCATATTGTAATTAGTTGTTTGGAACAATGGGGTCTTAGCCAAGAGTTAATTATACTTATATGAATCTTATTTACAAGACAGGAAAATTGCAACGAAAAATCTATTTGTTTATCTATAGCGATTTTACCCATGTCAAAATATTGCGATTTTGCCCCTTGAGGCCTTGATTAACAAATCGAATGTGACGATTTATACCCAAGGGCCAAATCGCATATGATCATCAAACAAACCAGTCTTTTGTGGCGTCAAACCTTGGTCTTTTGGAGTATAGTCAACCTTAGCAATTTGCCCAATTGACCTACGTTTACGTTTCATTTCTTCTGATTGCATAAACCCTAATTTAGTAACGCCTTTCAATTTCCAATTCATTGATGAACTCAAACACCCATCTAATTTCTTCATAAATTTATGCGATCAAAGCAATAATTAATCAGTACCCAATTGTTTCTAATTTAGTATTGGAAAAATAACTCAATTATCAGTTGATCACAGAAACCGTCGAATTTTTTTCGACATTTTTAAGTATGTTGTTTGAACTTGTGGATTGGGATCTTATCTTCTGCAATTAGGGTTTATCTGGGAAATTGATTTGGTTTGTTTTTTGGTTATATCCTTTCTGGAAATGGGCAAGAATGTGATTTTGACAACAATTCTAGTGATTCTGGTTGTTGCCGACGTTTCAAATGCTGCCTTCTTGAGGAATTTCCGGAGATTAGCCGCCACTCCGCCAATTGAAGATCCCAATAAACCAGTAAATTCTTTCTAATTTTGATTTTTGGTTGTTAATCTTATTAATATGTTCATTATTTTTGTGAATTGGAGCTGGAATTTGTTAGATTATGCACATATAACTGAGATTAGCTAGAATACGTTTGAATCTTAGTATACACTGTTTGATTGGTGCTGTTGGTGGTAGAGTTTATATTGATTGGATCTGAATTTGATAATATTTTCGGGGGTGCTGTTCAGGGTACTCCAATTCCGAGTCCGGTTGTACCTGGGAGTCACTCAAGCTCAGTTGATGGAGAGGAGAAGAGTAAGGAAAAGAAGCAAATTGGGCCTCCTCCAGCTACTACTGCTGGGAAGGATGCCTCTAAGGATAAGCAGATGACAAATGATACACATAAGACGCCTGTTACACCGCCAATTGGAGCTAAAGAACATAATAATACAAGTAAGGAAGCTGTGAAGGATAAGGAAAAGGAGGAGGAGAAGAAGGAGGAAGAGAAGGAGAAAGCAGAAGAGAAAGAGGAAGATAAGAAGGAAAAGGAGGAGGAACAGAAAGAGAAAGGAGAAGAGAAAAACAAAGAAGAACCAAAAGAGAAGGCGGAGAGCAAACCCGCTGCACCCGTTGGAAGCAGTGAGAGCTGTGATGAGATAGGGAGAAGGTGCCAGGACTTGAAGTCGATGACTGCTTGTGTCAAGAGTTTTGATTCTGGTAATTTTGGAAATCCTTTCTTGCTTTGCAGTTCTTAATTATGTGTTAGACTCCTAGAATCATTATTCTGTTAAGTTATAATATTTTTGTTTATATATAGTGGGTGGCTAGTGAATATGAAGATTTTGTTAAGAGTTTCACTATCATAGTAATTAAGGTCCTTGCAATTTTTGTGAATAACACTAAAATTTTGGTTTTCTGACTGGAAATTGATGTGTATCCTCGTCCGTGGGATGAATATACTCGTAAGATGCATGGTTTGTTTCCTTCTGATCTTGGTAAGTTTGATTGAGGCTTCTTGCCAGAGCAAATTGTAGTAAGTTGATAACAATATAACATGAAAGTAGGTAACAAATTTGTCATGGATGGGCCCACAAAATTGTAGTAGTCACCCCATAAATATGGAGGAGAACTTGTGTCAACATTCAACAACTTTTTGCTCATTATTAATTGATGAGATCTTCTCTCTCCTTTTGTATCTTTGTGATAAACTCAAACTCTAACTGTCTTTGTTCCAGATTAAGACTGAACTCCTTGATTTCATTTAGCTTTGTGATTAGTGAATCAAGTATTTATCTTTTTCTTGCATTTCATTGATATCCCAAAACCCCCAAAAATAGCATCTTAAAACGTGAGAAAATTTAGGATATCTAAATGATTTGGTGATGAATTTGAATCAAAGTGGTATTAACAGCCTAGGACATTTATTTTGTGATACATTTTCAATCTTTAATTTACTTCTTCAATTTTCTCTCTCCTCCTCTCTTCTCTCTATCCTATCCAAAAGCTTTCACTTATAGCTCAGCAAAGTTTGAAACTTTCACCTTTTTTCACTCAACTAGTCAACTATAAATATCTAACCTCTTTTATAACAAGATGGGTGATAGGTTAATGTATGATGATGCCATGATGAGTATAGAAAGGGGAGTGAGTATGGCTCTTTCAAAATGCAAAAGCTAGGAAGGACCTTAGAAAAGATTATTAATTGAATATTTCAAGTTTTGAAATACTTTGGACTCATAGGAAGTCCTAACGTAAGGGGTATAAATCCAAAGAACAATGGTGTTCATATCAAGTAACTCTAAAGCACCTC